AATGTAATGATATGCGATGGAATGAATGTAAAACTAGAGTTCTCTCATGTAAACTATCATATAATTCACAATAAAACATTGAAGAAAAAAAAAAAAAAAAAAAGATTATCTCTTTGGAATCCCAGAAAATATTCACCAGAATCTTAGAGCTGACCTCTCTGCATTGAATTTAAATGGCAGATCCTCTCCTAAAGCAGTTTTGATTGGACCTTTCTTGTGAAGGCAATCTAATAAGACTAAGATGAATGTATTACTGAGAGAATGTGCCTGTAGCCATTCACGGATCACAGAGACATGTTTAAACACACTTTGTTTTGCATAACCCTATAAATGGATGAACTGGAACCCAAATAGCAATACTTTTTGATGTATCCTCATATATGTGTGTGTGTGTGTATAATTTTTAAAAGGTCTTTTCTTCAAATGAAATATGTGAAAACCCAATATATGAAATAGATAAAGCTCCAGTTGAAGCTGGAGTAGAGATCCAGAGCCCCACTTTATTCTTCATATCAGTAGCTTCTTCATATTCTTCATAGCTCTAGTGGCACTCTATCTTTAAATCAAAACCACTCATTTAGACAAAAAAACCTAATCTTGCTCCAGCATGGCAGCAAGAATTCTCTGAAATTTACTGAGTTACAGTGTTCCAGACGACTGAAATGCAGAACTAATTGTAAACTCAGTGTTCTTTGAGGGACACCACATCCACAGAGATCCTCTACTCTCAACTTAGGAGTCCTCAGCTGAGGCCTCTCACCTGAGTGGCAATGATGTGGAATCCATCCGTCACCTCCACAGTTAAGTTGTAGCTTGCCCTCCTTCTCGTGTCCAGGGGCCTGGCAATTACAATGCTGCCTGTGGTCTTCTCAATGTCAAAGTCCATGTCCTTATCACCACCTGGAGTGGGGTGGAGGAAAGAGCACACACTACTTCAATGATTTAGGTAGACATAGCACAACATGGGATTTGGTTATCAGATGTAGATGTATAGTAGATGCCAACCTTGGTTATAGGGACCGTGGGCATTTAAGGAAGAACCTGAACCAGAAATTCTAAGACTGTTCAGACACAATATGATATCTGAGTGACTTGCTGTCATTGTTAGGTGCCATCAAGTCGGTACCAACTCATAGCGACCTTATGCACAACAGAACGAAACACTGCCCAGTCCTGGGCCAGCCTCACAATTGTTGCCACGCTTAAGCCCATTGATACTGCCAACCTGCCAATCTATCTGTGTGACTAGCTCTACTTTATACCCCTCTCGCCACCACTCACACTGCCATCGATTCAATTCTGGCTCATAGTGACCCTGTATGTGGTTTCCAAGCCTGTCAATCTTTACAGGAACAGAATGCCTCATCTTTATCCCACAGAGCAGCCAGTGGGTTTGAACTGCTTACTTTGCAGTTAGCAGTCCAGTGCTTATCCTACAGTACCACCAGAGCTCCTTTATCCCTCAGGAGTCCAAAAATCTGCACATCACCTGTCAAATTATTGTCGAATTATCATTAAGTTTTAAGTGGTGACACAAAACAAGGCAAATCTGTAAGGACTGAAGTGTCCCCGGGAAAGACCCAAGTTTGGCTCAAAGCATACTCTGTTGCATACAGGATTGTAGCACACAGGGACAATGGAGCTCTGCTTCAGGGTTTCCTGGTATTGTGCTGTAGGATAAGCACTGGACTGCTAACTGCAATGCAAGGTCTGCTTTTCAAGTACACCAGACTCTCCTTGGAAACCCTATGCAGGGTAGCTATCAGTTGAAACAGACTCTGTGGCACTTAACAACAACAATTTCATGGCTTATAAGTAGTTTGCATAGTCTAAAGAGCAGCTATGGAGGAAAAAATGGAAATAACCTCAAGTCAACAAGAAATAATTGATTTAATAAACTATAAAAACCCAAACTATTAAATACAATGTTGTTGTTAAGTGCCATTTCTGACTCATAACGATCCTGCATAAGATTTCCGAGGCCTTAAATCTTCAACAAAGCAGAAAACCTCAACTTTCTCTATAGGAGTAGCTAGCTGGCTCGAACCATGGACCTGGAGATTTGCAGTCTAGTGTTTACTGTATGGAGCTATCACGCTCCCTACTGAATACCATACAGTTATTTAAACATCATAGGAACCTATTTAGCAATATAGCAAATATGCTTATGACAAATCATATTTTAAAAGATTATAAAGGATTTCATTTACATAAAACATTCAGAATAGTTCAATCCATAGACACAGAAAGCAGACTGATGGTTGCTAAGAGGTGAGCACAATTGGGAAGTAATGGGTACAGCTTTTATTTGGGATGACAAAAATATTTTAGAAATAAGAGTTGTGGTTGCACAATATTGTGAATGTCCTAAATGCCATCAATTGTACACTTTAAAATCGTTATGCACGGAGAACAAACAAGATGGCGTTTTGGGTGGACTTGTAGTAAAGAGCTCTGCCAACAACACAGAATACCCGACCAAGCAGGCTCAGGGGATGGTCCCAGAACTCTAAACCACATATAAAGGAATATTTAGAAGGTTGGAAGGCTTA